TGCAAAGGCCCCTGCTTTGCGAGGGCCTTCCTCCAGCCTGAGTTTTGCTACACAGCTTGAGTAGCATGGCTCCCGCCAACACACAAAATACCCACTAGTGGCCCCATTAATCATTCAATAATTAGATACTTCATGTTTTGATTGTTTTCTATTGTGTAGATAACCCTGGTAATTTGTTAAATAGGTATTTGAGTGGCTCTGATAATATCTGTAAAAACTGGCTAGGAAGGGACTATTATTTTTTCTCTTGGAAAATAAATAAAATAACTGGTATTTAAATATTTGCTACCTCTAAATCAGTGGACCGGAATGGACAGCCCAGATACAAACCTATGCCTATATGGTTAATTAATAAATGACAATGAGGCAAGAATATACACTGGGGAAAAGATGTATATTCTGCAATACATGCTGTTGGAAAAAGTGGACAGCTATGGGCAAAAGAATGAAACTGGACCATTGTCTTACACCATACACAAAAGTAAACTTGCAATGGGTTAAAGACCTGAATATGAGACCTAAAATCACAAAACTCCTAGAAACTAAAACATAGGCAGTGAATTCTTGAACATCACAGTAGAAACTTTTTTCTGAATATTTCTACCCAGGCAAGGGAAACAGAAATGAAAATTAAAAAGTGGGGCTACCTCAAACTAAAAAGCTTCAGCACAGCAAAGGAAACCATCAACAAAATGAAAAGACAACCTATTGTATGGGAGAATATATTTGTGAATGATATATCTGATAAGGGGCTAATATCCAAAGAGAATATGTATAAAGAACCCATATTACTCAACACCGAAAAACAAATAATCTGATTAAAAAATGGGCAGAGGACCTGAATAGACATTTTTCTAAAGAAGACATACATTGCAGATGGCTAACCAATGCATGAAAAGATGCTCACCATCACTGAACATCAGAAATGTAAATCAAAACTACAAGATATCACCTCATACCAGTTAGGATGGCTAGTAACAACAGGACAAGAACAAGCGCTGGTGAGGATGGGGAGAAAAGGGAACCTACACATTGTTGCAGCACTATGGAAAGCAGTATGGAGGTTTCTCAAAAAACTAAAAATTGAAATACCATTTGACTCAGGAATTCCACTCCTAGGAATTTACCTGAAGAAAACAAGATCTCTGATTCAAAAAGACGTAAGCACCCTTATGTTTATCATAGGACTACTTACAATAGCCAAGAAATAGAAGCAACCTAAGTATCCATCAGTAGATGAATAAATAATGTGTGGTACATATACACAATGAAATATTATTCAGCCATAAAAAAGAAAGAAATATTGCTGTTTGCCACAACATGGATGGACCTAGAGGGTATTATGCTAAGTGAAATAAGCCAGGCAGAGAAAGACAAATACCATATGGTTTCACTTTCACTTATATGTGGAATCTGAAAATTGTAATGAAAAAACAAACTAAGCAAAACAGAAATAGAATCATAAATACAGAGAATGGATAGTTGGTTACCATGGGCAGGAGGGTGGGTGAAATAGCTGAAGGAGCTAAAGGGGCATAAAAGTTACAAATAATTTTATTTATAACTTGGATGGAAGTATAGTATAGGGAATATAGTTCACTAAGTTGATCATCTTAAATGAATATAATAATGTATATAAACTATATTTCAATTAAAAAAAAATAAATAATTTGCTACCCCTGACCCCCAAAAAACAATTGCTATGCAACACATTGTCAGGAGTGGATTAGATTTAGCTAATGAGGGATGGATGCCACTGTTCATGTTATATATTTATTGACTGATGACTAGAGCAAAAGCACAGTAAGGCTAGAGACTTTCCAGCACATCGGGGAGTGTTAGCACAAAGGAACAGCTCAGTAAGTACTTGTAGAGTGAATAAGGTAATGGACAACTCTCTGTTATTTAACAGATAATGTGATAAGCACTCTTTATGTAAGGGTGACAAGACAGACAGGGTTTCTACTCTCTGTTATTTAACAGATAATGCGATAAGCACTCTTTATGTAGCGCTGAGGACAGTGACTGAGAAAGAATATCTTAAAGACAGAGAAGAAAATTCTGGCACAGTACCTGAGAAACCAGGAGAGGGCTTTGTGCCCAAATACTACTTCTTATTACTTCTTTCAAGTATTATGGAGTTTGAACATTTATATTTTTTAATTTGCCAGAATTAACAGCTGGATCATTTGGACTCCCTTTCTTACCAGTGGGTTTCAGTCCTGGTAAAGTTCACTCTTGTTTCAGCGAGACCAAAAAATGACAGTGGAACGTTGTTAGAGTGAAAGGGTCTATACCCAACTTTATTCCCAAAGTCGCAGGCCAAACACTGCAGTCCCATCCGCTTCAGGGCAACTCTGCATGCAGCAAGCCGGTCTCTGCCTGTGGGCCACTCCACTCCGCGCAGCCGTCTCAGTCTCTGTCCTCCACGGTGCCACCACTCCAACCTCTACTCTCCTGCAGCTGTGCAGCCCAGAGCACTGGGCGGAGCCTTTATATAGAGTCAGTAATAACACATTGCCCACACGTGCGCGGTGAGCAAGCTGACCAGGGCCAGGGGAGAATCCTGGCCATAGGAACATTCGTTTTCTCTACATGCCCCTTACAGAATGTAAAGAATGCGGCATTCCTTCATTCACAATATTGCTTTTTTAATTGTTCTTCAGTTGGTCTGTATATCCACTGTTTTCAGTCTTACCTCCTCTGACTTCAATTCATGTACCTCATGCTGCAGCCCTTTAAACCACTTGATCATTTTTAAACATGTCATTTGAATACAGAACTATTTCAAACATTCTGAAAAGTTCTTCCATGTGCTGAATCAGGAACTTTGTAATAGCAAACACATTGTGTGTCCCAGGCATTGTTCCAGGCTGTGGAGTGTTGGTGGGAACAGCAGTCACAGACAGGACTGAGCTTCCCCAGAATGTGGGTGGGAAACGACAAGAGAAAAGGGACAGGCTCTGCACTGGGGTCTCTGTCTGTGGGAAGTCTGGAGGAGCTGGATCCAGCAAACAGCCTGAAAAGGTACAGCTATTTTGGCAGGAGTGAAACTAGGAGAGCTGGTGTTCCCGAATCCTAACTGCCAGTTATTGATCAGTAGCGTCAGAGGCTGCCGAGTGGGTGACCTTGGATCAGCAGTGCGGAGTCTTCTCAAGCCCATCAACGTGGTTGCAGAGGAAGAGTGGCCTAGAGGACCGAGTGGGGCGGGCGTGAGAGAGAACAGCAGGTGTGGATGGGAGTCCTGGACACCCCAGACCTCAACTGAAACACTAATGCACCCACGAAGAGAGTTAGAACAAGTGGCTGGACCAAATTTGCTGTATAAACCATCAACTGTGTTTCTGGAGAGAAAACAAGAAATTAGAAGAAATAATAGAAAAGGAACCCCAACCACTTTGGATAAAGAAGAGTAATTAAGGCATTGAATCCTTCAATTAAGGCCTCAATAAGTACAGTAGTGTGTACTGACAAATACATAGAAAAACTGATCCTGGGCAAAAGCCTCAGAATTAGACACAAATACACACAGTGATTTAGTATATGTAAAGGTTGCATGTCAATCAGTGGGTAAAACATGGACTGTTCAGTGAATGGAATTGGGACAACCAGGTGGCCATGCTGAAAAATAAACTTGAAAATATTCTTTATATATGATATTAGGGCAAATTCCAAAGATACTAAATAGTTTTAAATAAACAAAAAAATATAAGAGTACCTGGAGAAACCATTGGAAAATTCTTTAATAAGTCAACCTGTAGAAAGTCTTTCCAACTTAGCACAAAGTTCCAAAGACATTTTAAAAAATGAATTAAAATAGGAAAGACACGAAGAAAAAGAAAATTTTGGCACATGAGCCACCATAATCAAAATAAATAATAACTGGAAAAAATATTTGTAACTCATAAAGTTCTGATTTTTCCTATATAAAAGTTTCTTATAAAATGATAAATTAAACCCAATAAGCCAATAAAGAAATTAAAGTAAAATACAAAGTATGAATTCACTTTCCTAGAAAACATAAATGGCTCTTAAATGTAAGAAAAGATGTGGAACCAAATTCATAATGAGAGACGTGCAAATTAAATTACACTAAGTTATAATTTACTTACCAGATTTTTAAAGACCAAAAAGTTTGAAAGAATGCTATATGGGACATGGGGTGGGGCAAGGCACTCTCACACATTCCTGGTGGAAATGAAGGTTGATAGAGCCCCATAAAGGCAATTTGCAATATGTATATAAACATATATAAAGAATCATACTTTTTTCTCTGTAATTCCTTATTTAGGAATTTATCTTAGGGGTATATTTGTGTACATATGTACAAGGTTAATAAATGCAGGATTATTTGCATTAACAAAAGGCTGGTAACACCCAAAATGGCCATCAATACTGTATGCATTATGGCCCTTCTATACAATGAAATACTGTGTAGCTGTATAAAAAGAATGAAAAAATTGACATAGGAGGACCTCCAAGGGAGGATATATTGTTTAAAATAAAAGGGTGCAGAATAATGTATATTCGTATGAAAGGGACAAACACACACAGGATTTTTATCATTATCACGTCTACCGTCCAGAAGACCATGCTCACTCCCTCCCTTCTGTTCTCCCAGAATCACAACTTCATTACCCATCCCGACCAGCCTTGCTTGTCCTGCGTCCCATGCTGCCTCAGAGAGAGACCCTGAGAGAGAAAGAAAGACACATCCTTTGCGGCAATATTGATCGCCTCTTAGAGGATACGATCCATATGCAATACTCTGGGAAGATTTTTTTCCAAACGGGTGAAACTGGAAAGACACACAGGAGAAAGCCGAGAAAGACCCCTGTCCTCCCTCACTGGATTTTGCAAATACAGCTCTCCCGTGTGATACCAGGAACTAAAAAGAGAAGAAATATGGTAATAAGGGAAAAGCTGCCAGAAAATAAATGCTTTGGAAGCCTCAATTTGAAAGAAACTACATGAGGATAAGGAAAATACCACTAGTCAATATGCTGCTTTGTTTTATTTACCCAGAAGAATTGGGCAAGAGAGACTTTACCAAGACACGTTGCTGGACTTAGGCCCTCTCCTCCCATTAATGCCAAAGCCAGGAGAGATACCAGCTACTGAATTTCAGCTGGAGAAAAGACTAGAGGTGAGGGTCTCTTCCTGGGTGTAGTTTTCTTGTTTTTCTCTTTTGAGATCCTTTTCTCAAAATAATTGCATCATTCCAATGGGGGGAAGTTGTGTTTCTATTCATTATGTGGGTCAGAGTGGGGCCTAGTAGGACCTCGGGAAAAGCTTGTTGATTGACTTTAGTCTGTTTTATTGGGTGGCAAATTGTCCACAAACCAATAAAACTTTGGAACTCTCTTCTTATTCTTTCTGCAGATCTGGGGTGAGAATGAAGGGTTGGTTTCTGCTTCTTTTTAAAGCCCACTTCAATCTGTCCTACAATAATGATTCTGAGAAGAGCAAATGGAAATTGAGAACCAGGCTGTGTTTGAAATTCAAAATCCCAAAACATATGTCTATTTGGGTGGTGATTCTCCAACCCTCTCCTTCTTTCACTTCAGCACAATGAAGATTTTCACAGGTGTCATTTTCTGTTCCTTGGTCTTGGGAGTCAGCAGTGAAAGCTGGTATTCATTCTTCAAGGAGGCTGTGCAAGGTAAGGGCGCTGAAGGTTAGAGGCCAGAACCAGCTCGCCCCAGGATTCGCTCTGAGCAGAGGCCACACACCCCCCGAATGTGGGCACTGCTCACGACAGACACGTTGGGGCCCTGACCAGTGGGTCGGAGCAGGAGTGTTTCTCCTTCCGGCTGGTCCGACACAGCACCCTCCACGGGACTCCCCAGACCAGCGGCCAAAGGTGCTGTGGGCCCAGCCTGTAATTAATTGCCGGTGGTGTGCAGACGGGTCAGTATTTCCCTGTGTTTTGGGGCAGATCCTTGTGGGAATTCACAAATGGCAAATTTCTCAGCCTTGCAACGTAAATGTGAATTCAGTATGTCCCCGGAGGTAGAGCGTCCAGGATGAGGATGAGCTGAATAAACATCGTGCCTAGCCACATAGGAACTCCTATGCACACAATAAAAAGAGCATATTCCCACGGATCAGCCATGCTAGCACTGAGGTAGGGCCAGGAAACAGACCTTCCATTTAGAGACGAAGCTTACTGGCAGGTTGTTAAAATGGGTAAATTATGTTGTCAATTTCTGCAATATTTTCATCTTCAGCTGTTGTTATTAACTTTGTTTTACTTTCCCTATTCCTTATTCAGTGCTCTTCCTTCCTTTATGTAGGTCCAAGTTTCTGACCTTTATTATTGTCCTCCTTTCTGAAGAATATTGAAGAATTTCACGCAAGGCAGGTCTACTGCCACCAAAA